TAAAGTAGACCCTTAATTCATTGTCTAATGAATTAAATCACAACTCTATTAATAATGCTAGTTTTTCTTAAAACAATTTTGTCAACCGTTCACACATTGCACAAACATTTCTATGTTTTAATGGGAATTCCTTTTGGACCAATTACCTTTTTCATCTTCATCCTCCTTCATAGTTCTTAAATTCATATATATAATTTACAACCCTGTTTACCAAAAAAAAAAAAAAAAATTGCTCATAAAACCTTTAATATTCAAGCAAGCTAATGTATAAAACTCATCAATTATGCATTATTGTCTTCAAAAGTAGCTGGTGTTGGACCATATCATTGACAACTGTTAGAATTGTGGGGTGACTTGAATTTTTTAGTTGAAATAATTGTAGAATTCTAATTGAAGTGCACATCAAGAGAAATTCTAGTTGGAATGCTTTGAGAAATTCTATTCAAATTTAATTGTCAAATTCTTTTTAAAGTTTACTTTTAAAGTCCATTGGGAGTTGGAATTTGAATTGGACTTGAAGAGTTCAAATAAGGAAACTTCTAGGAATGAATTTTTCCCTGTAAATATGAGGCTCCTTTGTCAATTTTGTGAGAAGCAATTTTGCTAAGTTGTACTTGTTTTCTCCATATTGTTCAGTAATAAATATCGTTCCTCTACAATTAACCATTTTTGTTCTTTTTTATTTTAAATCTTGTTTTCATGGTGTGATTTTATTTACTTCAATATTGTCATTAAATCTCATTCTTTACAATCCGATTTATGATCAACAACTGGTATCAGAGCTTCCGCGCCCAACAAGTGGAATCAAACCTTGGTTCCTTTCATAGATTGGTTGAGATTTTTCGAGATGGCTAGGTTGAAGTATGATATTCTATAACTAGATCACAATACAAGGTTTTCTTTGTGACAAGTAAAGATGAAGGCTGTTTTGCACGCAGTTGGATTTAGATGATGAGTTGCTGGATTTTGAGAAGATGCCAGTTGATTGGATAGCAGAGGAGAAACAACAGAAGGATCGAAAGGTTGTGTCATTGATTCATCTTTATTTATCCAACAATATTATGCACGATATCTTGAAGGAGAAGACGACGGCTGTGTTGTGATTGACACTAGAGCAGTTATGTATGACTAAAGGTTGTATCAGTAAACTGGCTCTGAGGATCGTTGGAAGATCACACTGTCGTGTTCGAGGAAATAATTGCAGATTTGAAAACATTAGAGGTTAAGTACGATGAAGAGGATCTTGCCATGATCATATTATGTTCGCTGCCTGATTCTTATGCGTTGTTTCGGGACACCATCTTGTATAGTCGAGATACTTTCACCATAGACGATGTCTATGATGTTTTGCATTCAAAGGAGAAGATGAAGTATTTGGTTAGAGTTACATCAAGGGATGTGGAAGCTCTTGTATCTCAAGGTGGTTGATGGAGAGGCAAATCGAAAGTCAACTTTAGCAATGTGTATTGTTATTACTGTAAACGGAAGGGATATATTCAGAAGGATTGTGATATGTTGCATGCTAGAGGTGATTTAGCTGCAAATAGTGAAGTGCAATCTTTGACTTCAGATGAAACTAATGTAGTTGAAGATCTTTTCAAATGGCGAAGATGTGATATTGGCCATGGTATCTGATGTGGAATCTATGCTTTATGAAGAGTGAATTCTTGATTCGACATGTTCGCACCATATGTGTTCTAATAGGAATTTATTTCAGACATATGAGGCTATTTAGAAAGGTGGAGTTGTAATGGGAAATAACCAATCTTGTCATACTACTAGAATCGGTCAAGTCAAATTGCGGTTATAGGATGGGACGGTTAGAGCACTTTGCCAGGTTCGACATGTTCCAGATCTGAAGAGGAATCTTATCTCGCTGAGTGTCTTGGATTCAAAAGGGTATAAATTCTCTGGAGAAGATGGAGTCTTGAAGTCCAAAAGGGAGTCCGAGTTGTATTGGAGAGACGAAGAAGATCTCAGTTGTACATTTTGCAGGGGAGTGCAAAACCAGTTAAGATGAGACATTTGGACAAGTTTAGTACCGTTGTGGAAGTTCAGTTTGGTACAATACTTCTTGTGTTAGGTTTTGAGTCGATTCAAAACACTGATAAGGAGAGTGTTGGTGATTTCGCTTTGTCACCAATTTCAGCGGGTACACCGTGTTCAGTTGCTGGGGTTGGACTCATCGAGTGTAGGTACCGTGGTCTCAGTAATGTTTGGGATGATTCTAGGGACGTTGAAGGTGACAGTTTCAGCAATGGGCCTTCTGATCAAGCATCTTGTTTGGTTCTTACTACAGGGTGTGCTTTGACCATGTGTGATCAATATTTATTCTTCGAGGAGGAATTTTGGGAACCCTAGGATTGGGTTCAGGTGTTGCTTGTGGATGCCGGACACAGGAAGATTGTTTGGTTTATATGGAGTGTTTGGTTACTACATTGAGGAGATTGACCAGTTCATTTCGATGCAGACGGATTTGAAATCTAGGAGTTTCGTTCAGTTGCATCGAAATTCGTATCAAGGTGGAGGTTGTTAGAATTTTGGGGTGACTCGAATTCTTTTGTTGAAATAATTGTAGAATTATAATTGAAGTGCACATCAAGAAGAATTCTAGTTGGAATGCTTTGAGGAATTCTATTCAAGTTTAATTGTCAAATTCTTTTTAAAGTTCACTTTTAAAGTCCATTGGGAGTTGGAATTTGAGTTGGACTTGAAAAGTTCAAATAAGGAATCTTTTAAGCATTTTATTTCATCTACAACTCTACTTTTAAGAATGAATTTTTCCCTATAAATATGGGGCTCCTTTGTCAGTTTTGTGAGAAGTAATTTTTTGCTAAGTTGTACTTGTTTTTTTCCATATTGTCCAGTAATAAATATTGTTCTTCTGCGATTAACCCTTTTTATTCTTTTTTATTTTAAATCTTGTCTTCGTGGTGTGATCTTGTTTACTTCAATTTTATCATTAAATTTCATTTTTTATAATCCAGTTTAGGATCAATGAGTGGTATCTGAGCTTCTGCGCCCAACAACAACTCCCCAAATGTTTGTGAAAAATAACTTTTAATATTGGTTCTTGACTAATAAATTTACAAAACAATATATATGACTTAGGTTGCACTAATTAATGTTTTCTAAACCTTTGACAATCAAATGAGTCGGGTGTTAAATATTATACATGATGCAATTGCGATCATGTAAAGTATGTTGACATACTTACACATAGAAATGAAAATAAATTTTGTTGATATATTTTGTAGCATTGTTGGTAAGTTTGTCAAAAAATAAGTGGTAAAATATTTAATTATATTCCGAGTCTTACTCGCAACTTTTAGTGTTCATTTTTCATTTTTGTACAAAATAGAGGAGGAAATTAAAAGAAAAAGGTTTGGAAAGGGAGAAAAAATATGGGTTCTGCTTTATCCAAAAAATATTTATTGCAGGCTCCAAAAGATATATTAATTCCCAATATTTAAGCAATTTCGATAGCTACATAATTAAATATAATTTAATGCCAATTCCTATAATCTTCTATATACCCTTCTCTCGTAACTGTCCTTCATTTACTAGGTGATTGTACAAACTGAAATCCCACCAATTAACTCTAATTGTATAATTTTACATTTAGACAATAGGGAAATAATATAATGGACACTAGTACTTAGTTTATGTTAGTCATCGATGACATGACACACCGATTTTTTTTTTTTTAATGATCATGGGTGTCTGGGCCAACTTACGTGCACCTCAACTAATCCCATATATCCCTAAAATTTACAGCCGGATACTTATCTCAGTGGTTCCGAGGAGACTCGAACTTGTGGTCATTGAAGAACAAACTCAATGCCTGATCATTGATTGGTAAATATGTGAATGGTATTAGAGGTGACAAAATATACGTCTTACCGTGCATTCTCATCATGATTAATCTAGACACGTATCGATTGAAATAAAAATATTTTAATTTTGATCGTGCCCTAAAGATCATCACCACTGCCCCGCCACCATCCTACTTACTAATCGATGACAAATTTGTTCTTAATTTGATGATTAATTAATTAGGATTACCAATTGTAACCCACCAAAAATGGTCACTGATTAACGATCCATGTGCATTTGTCATTTGAATCTGCTTAATGGCTAGCGTAATACTACACGAAAATTAAGGCCTTGAATGAAGCGAATTTTAATTTGCTTATTAATAATGGAAAATAATTTATGAGAGTATCAACATTCAATTGAATATAAAGAGAGATGAAAGATATTTTGTTATAAATAGTAACTTTTTTATTATCTGAATTTAGAGCAAATAATAACATAATAATTTTTACTTATAATTACGACAGAATAACTTTTTTTTATAAATTGAATTATGTGAAATAGTTATATATGATCTAAAAAAACGCGTAGGACATGAACCGACACAGCTCACCTACGAAGCCGTGCAAATTTATCTGTCCCTCATGCTACGCGCTTTGTATTCTAAAAAGATAATTCTACTCCACCTATACATACACACATTTATAAGTATTCACACCCTCGACCAACAAATTATGAAAAATGCATCTTGTATATAATTATTTATATAAATTTTACATAATGATGAGGTGTCAAAATGCAATTGGAAAATTTATTTGATTGATGGGATTTTGATCTAATTATGCCCTTGTTTTATTTTCATTTTTAAAAAAATATATTGTTCTCCCTTTTTTTTTTCAAATACGGATTCTTCAATAAAAAAAATATTATACGTAAATTCAAATTTTTCCTTATTATTTAATAACGCGTTCTCCTTTAATTTTCTATTTTAAAATGCATTTAACACAAAAAATGGGCCTCAAACATGAATTTCGTCACATCATTCATTGAAAAAATAGATCATTGTCTAAATTGCTATATTATACCGTATATATTGTGATAACAACTATATAATAGTAGGACATATTTCTTGTAGTTAACGTGTCCACATTCTTGTTATAAATACACTTTGCACTGGTTGTGGGACCGAAACTAGAATTTATGTATGTATAGCTCTCTTTTTGCGAAAGAGTAAAGCAAGCTAGCAACCATGCTCTTCTTCACCCTTCTTCTTGATTTTCACTTATCTAAAAAAATTGTTCTTCATTAAATGTGAAATCCAATATCTTTTTTCCCAGATCTGAATCTTTTCCCTTCCATATCCCATCGAAAATCAAAAACCTCACTGCATTAGCTCAATTTTCACCAAGAATATTTCGAAAAATTATTTTACTTAAATAAAGTCGGAATTGATTTCTGTTCTTGATTCCTTTTTCGTTTTTTTTTTTTTTTTGTTCTGAGTTTTTGATAAAAAATAATGAAAGTGACCCAGAATAATTCGGAAAAAATCTTCTGGGATTCGATTAGAACCCCATCCGGGTCACCCATTTCTATGTCGAGTTCGCAGGGTAAATCCTTGCCTAAGCTCTTGGTGTGGCTGATTTTGTTCGTTTCAGCCACTTATGTAGTGTATACATTGAAGCTCCTTTCCTCTCCCCCTAGTTGCGAAGAAGATATTTTCCTTACTCGCCGCAATAGCATTTCCCTTCATAAATCATCAAACAACACAACTGCAGCAACATCGTCGACGATATCCCCTAATCAATTGGATGAGAAAACGGGTTTGGAACACATAGTTTTTGGCATTGCAGCATCGGCCAAGCTATGGCAAAAGAGAAAGGAGTACATAAAGTTATGGTGGAAGCCTGAAAGGAAAATGAGGGGCATTGTTTGGCTCGATAGCCATGTAAAAGCTTATAGAAATGAATCTGGGAGGCTCCCGCAATTGAGAATCTCAGGTGACACGTCGAGATTTTCTTACAAGAATAAGCAGGGACACCGATCCGCTATTCGGATTTCTCGTATAGTATCGGAGACTTTAAGGTTGGGGATGGAGAATGTAAGATGGTTCGTAATGGGAGATGATGATACAGTGTTTGTAACAGATAATTTGGTGAGGATTTTGAACAAATACGATCATAATCAGTATTATTACATTGGGAGTTTGAGCGAAAGTCATTTGCAGAACATTTATTTTTCTTATGGAATGGCTTATGGAGGTGGGGGTTTCGCTATAAGCTACCCTTTGGCTAAGGCTCTTGAGAAAATGCAAGATAGGTGCATTCAGAGGTACCCTGGATTGTATGGGTCTGATGATAGAATGCAGGCTTGTATGGCTGAACTCGGTGTTCCACTCACTAAAGAACTCGGTTTTCACCAGGTGAGTTAATGTTCTTGATTTTTTTCATCCCTTTACTGTTTTTTGTTCTTTTTTAAGGTCCTTTTTCTGGGGTTTTTTTTT